CCCTTACGTTTATAGCAGCATTATTTGCAACAACTAAGACATGGACACAGCCCAAGGGTCTATCAATTGATGAACTGATAAAGAAGATGTGTTCTATATACACAAAGAATGAAGTCTTGCCATTTGCAACAACACAGATGGAGCTGGAGTGTATAATGCTAAGCAAAATAAGTCAGTTGGACAAAGACAAATACCATATGATTTCACTCACATGTGGAATTTAAGAAAACAAAATAAACAAGCAAATGGAAAAAAATAAGAGAAAGAGAGAGAGAAAGCAAGAATCAAACTCTTAACTATAGAGAAGATGGCTACCAGGGGGTAAGTGATTGGGAGGATGGGTGAAAGAGGTGACAGGGATTGAGGACTGCATTTGTTGTGATGAGCACTGGGTGTTGTATGGAAGTGTTGAATCACTTTATTGTACACCCAAAACTAATATAACAATGTGTGTTAACTAACTGAAATTAAAATATTTTTTAAGTTGAAAAAAAAAAAAAACCTTATAATCCAAGAAGTAGAGAGAGTGCCACATCAAGGACAGACCAAATTGTTTAAAATTGAAGCATGTAGAGACACACAGAGATGAAATCATGGAATCTATTTTTAAAGCATGCATAGCAGGGATAAAGGGAACAAAGATGCATGCTCATAATCACATAACACTAAATAAGGAGGTGCTTCCTTGAAGGGTATGAGGTTAGCAGCTAAAGAAAAGAAAGCCAGTCATACAATAAATGCACAAATGAACTTTTCAAAATGTAATATGATGGCAAAGCTATAAAAACTAGGACAGTAATAAGAAAAAAACTGGATAGCAAAATCCCATTCTTTAATCCAAGTAAAACACTATGTAAAATGAAGTTTTTTGCTATTTTGAGTCTCATACACTTACCTCTGAAGAGTTTCAGATTCAGCACAACACTGTTCATATTAAAACAGGAGCAACCATTTTATAATACCTTGGAAATGTGTCCATAAGGCCATTTTTGGCTTTAACATATAATACTTCACTGTAACATATAATACTGTAACTCTAATATTCTTCTCTCAAAAGATGAACTTAAACTCAAATCAATTTGTAAAATTTAATGATGAGATTATCTCATCACTTCAGTTTCATTTAATATTTCCAAATTATGTAGTTATAAAATCACTTCAAAATGTTTCATGTTCTTTTCACAAGTTCCTGAACTCATCTTTCTTCACCTGATTGTCTCCCAGAGCTTGTCCTCAGTATCTCTCTCCAAATATGAGAGTTTCTCTCTTTCTGTTTATGGCCTCTGTTGTCTATATGACTTTTCTCAAAAGTCAAGGTTCACCTAGAGGGAGTCACAGTGAGGGTGAAGCATACCCCTGTTAGGGCCAATTTAATGTTAAAACCTGTTTAACTATTAGGGCCTGCTTAGCCAGAACAACTCCATATTGCCTAGGTAGCCATATTGTTGTTTACATCCACGGACTTCATTCTGGGAATAAACGCCCCAGTAGTTCCTGGTATCAGTTCCAGGTGTCGATTCCGGGAGTAAGCGCCTTAACAATAGAAGCCACGTACCTTGGGTCTTCAGTTATGCCCTATAAAACCAGCCTGTGAGATCGGGAGGGGGTCGCTCTCTTCGGAGGCGGCCCTGGCCTGTCTGTCTGACTTCTAATACTTGGCATAGAATAAAGCTCTACATAACTTTCACTTTGTCTTAGTCTTGTTCCCCTGGCCGGTCAGTCTAACTTCTAATGCTTGGTATAGAATAACGCTTTGCCTAACTTTCACTTTGTCTCAGTCTCGTTCCTTTGATAACGGACCCCAACAACCCCCACAGTAAAAATGCCACCTTCAGCTTTGTCAAACAGAATCATCTTCTGATCCTTCAATTTAGCCAGTGAGATTCAGGTTCTCAAATCTCAAATTTAAAATACACAGAAGCTTAACTCATTAATACTATTTATTCAATATCAGCTCTGTTCCAGAATCATCTTAAGTTCTGTGTGTACAGTAAGGAACTGGACCCCCAGTGTAATGGGTATTGCCTAAACATTGCCTTCCTGGGGCTTTACATCCAGGGCACAAATAAAAGACAAAATGCTAGGCCTTGTGTCTAAAACTGTTCCTCGAGCATAGTGGGAGCTCAATAGCAGTTCTTGAGTGAAAGAACAGATATGAATATTAATTATAAATTGTGATAAGCCCTACTTAGGAAAAGAGGAGACTTCTTCGTGAGAGAAGAACAGTATGAAATGAAGCTCTGTGGAAATGCTCTGTAAGCTGAACTGTGAAGGGGGAGAAAGAACCAGAGGTGTGTCCAGATATTTGAGGTGAAAGAGTTTGGTTTGGTGTATCTGGACACTGTGAAAGAAGATTAGTTAGATGGATTTAGTTTAGTAAGTGAGCAGGACAGTAGCATAAATTGGCAGGAACCAGACTTGAGAGCCATGTTAGGGATTTTCAATTTTACCTTCATTTTAATGAGAAGTTTTTGTTGTTGTTTTTTTTTAAAGATTCTATTTATTTGAGAGAGAGTGAATGAGAGAGAGAGCGAGAGAGAGCACAAGAGGAGGTAGGGTCAGAGGGAGAAGCTGCCTCCCCACTGAGCAGGGAGCCCAGTGCGGGACTCAATCCTGGGACTCTGGGATCATGACATGAGCCAAAGGCAGTCACTTAGCCAAATGAGCTACCCAGGCGCCCAAAAGAGAAACAAGTGTGGAAATGGAGAGGGAAGAGAAGGAACATGTGGTGGTGGCCTGGTCTGGAGCGAAGACAATGAAAAAGAGCGTCCAGAGATAAAATATATTTCCCTGGTAGAAATCACTGCCAACAGAGTACAAGGGTGAAAGAAACATTCAGCATACTCCAGATTTTAGACTAGTCTTATTAATGCAAGAGTTCTAAAGGACATAGCAGAGAGCAGAAGGAAAACCTATGAATAAGGTCAGTTTTGTAAGCCTTTTATCACAGTAATAGGAAGTATGCTTCAGAATCATCCAGCACATTACAATCCATATTTTCTTTAAATGGTTCTGTTTTAATTTTTCATTCCTCATAGGAATAGCAAAGCTCTCCCTTCCCAAAGCAGGGGGGAGAAGTTGTTGACATAGCAACGTTTTTTCAGTTTGTAGAGTGCTGACAGGCTTTTCCACCAAGTGTTCTCATTCCAAGGACTTGGAGGACAAGGCAGAGAATGAGACACCTAGCTTGAGCACTCCAGATGGGATTGCTGCAGCAAATGACTACAGACTAATCAATGGTGAATTGACTGACGGCTGGCTCTCTTCTTGTCTGCCCTTGTGGGTTAACAAGGTGCCCTATCTTGGTTGAAACAGGCTTCTGGGTTTCATTGGAACCTTTAAATACTCCAGGAAGCAAGCTGCTGAAGGAAGCCCAATCTGGTACTTGGGTACTCGTACAATGGCGGTTCTTAATCTTTTTGAGTTTGATTATGGGTACTGTCTTTAGAAAAATACATATGCAAACAGGCACAAAATGTTCCTTCAGCTTTAGAAAGTACACCCACTGAAGCCAAATCTTGGACCCAGAAATATTTAAGAACATCCAAGATTCTAAAGAAAATGAAAACACTAATTTGAAAAGATCTATGCACCCCTATGTGTATTGCAGATTTATTTACAGTAACCAAGATATGGAAACAGCCCAAGTCTTGACTAATAGGTGAATGGATAAGTAAGATGTGGTATATATACAATGGACTATCATTCAGCCATAAAAAAGGATGAGATCCTGCCACTTGTTACAACATGGGTGGATCTAAGGGTTATTATGACAGAAGGAGAGAGACAGGAGGAGAAAGTGAGACAGAAAGATAAAGACAAATACCATATGATTTCACTCATATGTGGAACCTAAAAAACAAAGCAAATGAATAAACAAACAGAATCAGACTCTATTTTAAAAAAGCAGAACCAGACCTATACATACAGAAGACAAACTATAAAATACAGAAAACAGAGAATACAGAGAACAAACTGCTGGCTGCCAGAGGGGAGAAGGGTGAGGTATTGGGCAAATGGGTGAGGGGGAGTCGGATTTACAGACTTCCAGTTATGATATGAATAGGTCTTGGGAATAAAAGAATGTAGTCAGTAGTATTGTCATAGTGTTGTATGGCGACAGATGGGAGCTACACTTGTGGTGAGCAAAGCACAAGGTACAGAGTTGTTGAAATCACTATGTTGTACACCTGAAACTACTGTGACGTTGTGTATCAACTATACTCAAATCAATCAATCAATAAATAAAACTTTTAAAAGGAACATCCGGGATTCTATGACACATACATCAAGCAGATCTGCTAATAATAAACTTTGCAACAAGAGATGTGGAAAACACGAAGGAAGTAACTCCCCCTGAAAATACAACTTTAGCATAATGAGCCAAGATTCTATCCAATTAGTATGATAATCAATAACATTTTATCATAAACCTAGAATTACGAAAATTCATGGGTCTGCTGTCAGAAGACCTGGGTCAAATTGTACTGCTGCTCAAACGGAACATGAGCAAGTCCTTTAACTTCTCTGAGATTCAGGGATGTCATTTTAAAGCAAGGTTAATAACGGTCATACCTTTCTCATAAAACTTCTGCATGTGAAAATATTTAATTGCTACAAATTTCTCTAGAAGTCCTTATTTAAATATCCATTCAGTTTCACTTTGACCAACTTTCAAGGCAGTCACTTCAGTGACCTTCGACTAATAGTATCTTGACTCCGAATCTCAGAAGGTACTATTTACATTACAACTGATCATCTGGGTATTGGGTTGACAGAATCTTTATTTTTAAAATGAACATTCACAACTTTTTTTTTTTAACTCTAAATACGTTTCCCAATTTTCAAATTGCATTATTCATTTACACAGAAAAATCAAATCAAGTGACCCCTGGACTTTAACACACCTGGCCTGTGTTGCTCCATAACATCTCTTATAAGTGTCAAGTGTAGGCATTTAATCTGACCCATTACAAAGACATAGGGATATTGTCACTTACCTCTGTCACTGTCATAGAGATATGCAAACTTGTCCCATTGATAGTATTCAATCAAGCTAAGAAGTGCTCCTTTGAGGTCAGGTCTCATCTGAATGACAAATGGATGTGTGCCATCTGTTGGGAAGCTGGGAGTGATGAAGGAGACATGGAGCGTTCCACAAAATGATGTGATGGTATTTACAGACTTCTTGTCATAAAATCCAAAAATAGCATAGACTCCTCTTGAAAACTGGGAGCAGACTGAATAGGAAAAATAGAAAGGATAAATCACTGAAATTGGCATACCGTAACGTAGATTTGCTTAAAACTTAATGCTCTTTTATATGAAACAGAAAATAATCAAAATGGAAAAATACAGAATTTATATCAATGATCCATCCTGTCTGAGCACTTATTTACTTAGCTCTCTCTTGGAGGAATTCAAAGAATTATAAAGCATTAAAAAGTAATTTTGGCTACAAGAAAATAGATACATTATTTTTTTTAAACAAACCATGTAAGTAGAAAAGTATTTTAGGATAGCCACATTGAAAAAAAAAAAAATGTAGGGGCTCCTGGGTGGCTCAGTTTGGTTGAGCTACGAACTCTTGGTTTTGGCTGAGGTCATGATCTCAGGGTCTTGAGATGGAGCTCCAGTGTGGTCTCCATGTTCAATGGAGATGGAGGATTCTCTCCTTCTGTCCCTCCCCACACTCACACATGTACACTCTGTCTCTCTTTCAAATAAATAAATAAATAAATAAATCTCTAAAAAAAAGTGTAAGTAACAATCATTAATTATATGAAGAACCAACTACAGTTACCCAGCATTTATACACATTCATAACATCTCATTCCCTCTAAAATCTGATTCTTTTTTTTTAAAGATTTTATTTATTTGACAGAGAGAGATCACAAGTAGAGAGAGAGAGAGAGAGGAGAAAGCAGGCTCCCTGCCTAGCGGAGAGCTCGATGTGGGACTCAATCCCAGGACCCTGAGATCATGACCTGAGCTGAAGGCAGAGGCTTAAGTCACTGAGCCACCCAGGCAGCCCCTAAAATCTGATTCTTTAAAAGGATTTATTGTGTTAATGATGCTTCATACTAGAAGGTCAGAGGGCTTATGAAGGGTTCTAATGCTGACCCAAAGTTCTTTAAGAAAAACCAAATGCAAGACTCACAACATACACAAAGAGATATATCACCAGAAAGAGACCTCTAACCTTGGATCTCTCAGTCAAGTAGCAATTAAATGGAGTTCAGAAACCCGAATTTTAATCTTTCTCATGGACTTCCCTTACCCATACTAAACAAAGAACATTACCAAATATTCTGATTTAAGGCCATAATCCTTAAAAAAAAGGTAATATTTTATTTGAAAGTCCGTATCGCTCCAAAATCCCTTACCCTCTAATGATATACACTGAATGGCATATGACAATACCTCCTCTGACCTTCTCCCTCGTAGTCAATCACTAATTATTGTTTATCCTAATACCTAAATATATTCAAATGTGGTCCACTTGTTTGTAGCTCCATCTCAATCATCCAAGTTCATTAACAACTTATTCTTACGTTGTACTTGCCTTGTGACTGGCATGTTCTATGGCACGTTAACTCATTTATTTCTCGTGATCACCTTTGAGGCAGGAACTATTATTATTCCCAAATAGGGATTTTGATAGGAAAATTGAAACACAAGATTAAGTGATTTGCCCCAAGTCACACAGCTAGTAAGTGAAAGATGCTGTGTTCAAACCTAGGCATCTGGAATCAAAGTCCATGCTTTTAATTAATGGGTAATACTGTTTTCCCACATGGATTATTGGAATTCCTGCCCAAATTTCTTCCTTCATCCAATATTCCCCTTTAGTTCAGTTCTCTACAATAAAGCCAGAATAATTTTTTGAAACACAAATCTGAAAATATCTGAGAAGTAATAGTTACTTTGTCTAAGACTGATTCCTCTGAAGTGCCCTATAGAAACCACACATGCCATAATGCTTAAGATCACCAATTCAGGTCAACCACATAGCTTTAAACGATTAAATAGCTGATATTTTCTTAAATCTCAAGGGTCATTTCAATCCAAGGAAATGAAAATAAGCTATCCAGTAACATAATCCAACAAGACAGAGCATAATACCAAGCAGCCTTTCAAACTAATTAATCCCATTTAAAGGATAAAACTAATGCAATTCCATTTCATTCTATTTCCTTTCAAAAATAGAATATCTGTAGAAAAATAGATTTGCTTCATGAATAAGAACATTGCTACAATACATACAGATTCTAATAACCAATTCCAGACAATCAATAAATAATAGGCAATGATTTTTAGCAAGTATTAAATGACATGCAAGGAAAGGAAAGCAAGACTGACTATTTCTTTGAGTGGTTTTTATTTATCAAATATTCCTGTTTTCCTTTATATATTTACTAATCTTCAACCCACTTCTGTCTTTCTAACATAAGTTTTCTAGGATTTCTAGGTTTTATCTGTGTAATGTACCAATTGGCATCTTCCGCCTTTATTACCAATCTTCTGCAGAGTAGTCTAATATATCTCAGGAAACTGAATATACTCCTTTACATTCATTTCAAACTTGAACATATAATAGAGATGAGGTTTCTGCCCTTTACTTATGTTCATTGGTCCTTGTCTGAGTAGAGAAGTTGAAAATAACTTTAATGTGTTGGCCTGGGCTCATTCTTCACATGAGTGGAAAAAAAAAGAAAAACCTTTCATTATTAAAACCCTTCCAGGCAAATTCTGTGGTGATTTCTTATTTTATACATGGATATATGTGTACTGACATGTACATCTTAAATCTCAAGTTTGTTCAGAAACTGATGATTCCATATGACATATAAAAAGGGGGGAATTGCTATAAAATTCTCTCTGGGTCTATTTTATTCCATTTTCCGGTGAAGTGTTGGCATGTCATCTAAATACTATAGGAATATCAGGTGATATGATTTATTAATGAGACCTCTTCTTCTCATTGTAAGTGAAATAGCTTCTGTGATGGGAACAGCAGCCATGGCATCAGCAGAATGCTTGATAAAGGACGCTCCTGTTTGAATGCCTAGACAATCATAATAAGGAGCCATACCTTTCATTTTCCATTTGTTTTAGACTCTGAAGTGAGTTGTCAAGGGGCCTCCTGGTTATTGTGGCCATCTGGAAACACTTGGCTTTGGCCCAACAACAGGCACAAGCAGTACAAGACTTCACAAGAAATTATAATTCACCTGATTCCAAAGGCACTTTTTTTCAGGAAATTCAGCTAATTCTCCAATGAGCATAATTTTGTAACAATGGCTTTTCTTTCCTGTCTATCCCTGGTCCTTCCAAACCCTCTTTTATCTTTTCATGGTAAATATTCAATTGTCTATTTGTATCTTCCTTTTTTCTATATATTTCTCTCTTAATGTCCTTTTTCTATATACCATTAACATTCATTTCTTTTTTTTTTAATATTTTATTTATTTATTTGACAGAGAGAGAGATCACAAGTAGGCAGAGAGGCAGGCAGAGAGAGAGAGAGGGAAGCAGGCTCCCTGCTGAGCAGAGAGCCAGATGCGGGGCTCGATCCCAGGACCCTGAGATCATGACCCGAGCCGAAGGCAGAGGCTTATTAACCCACTGAGCCACCCAGGCGCCCCCCATTAACAGTCATTTCTACAACACTGCTCACCTCCCTCTCTTTACCTTAGGTCAGTCCCTGTCTCTGTCCCCAAACATGATGAGGAGATCATTGAGATTTACAACTAGGAATCAATCAGAATGCTGATCTGAGCTGAGGTATTTTGCTTATCCAGTTTGCAGCAATCATCTCAAGATAAAACAAAACAAAATAAAAACAAAAAACTTAGTGCTACACTTGTAACCTTTCATCCCCTAAATACCCAAGTATTTTTGCATTCTAACACTGATGCTTCCCCCAATATACCACAAATACTTGGCCCTGTTGACATAACACACAAGAATCTTAGGTGCAGTGCCTTGAAATTACTCTTCACTTGATTAGAAATTAAATTTCTCATTGTGATCTCAACTTTATTTCCCAGCTATCCCTCCAAATTTTAAAGCCATTTCCCTAACTTATATCCATCTTCAAAAACAAAAGATTTATTATCACTGAGAATGTCTAATAATTTGTCACAAGCGGTGGAATAATTCCAAAAGTAGCTTCCTAAAATTAGTTAGATAATAACAGCACCCCACATATATTCATTCTTTTCCTACGTCATCTTCAGAAGCAGAGAAAGGAACAGAAATGATCAGTTTCACCTCCAGTTCCATGCCCCGTACAATCACCTTATGAAACACTTTTACAACTTTCTAAATGATTATGCCGATTAGTATTAGAATTTCATTCATGTCTTAAGACTCAAAACTGATTGCAAAAGGTAGGTAAAGATGCTCTTACTGAGTTCTACTTTAATAAAATATTAAACATCAACTTTGAGAAGCTCAGCAAAGGGAAGTCCTTTTAAAAGACACTTTAGGTCAAAACAGCAGAAATTATCATCTCCTGGGTGTAAGTAACTTGCTGATTATTCCACTTTTTATTATAGCCCAGATGATATAAGCCAATAACAATGCTGATGGTGCATCCACCTCCTATCTTTCTTCTCATTGGTGCTGCTAATGTAGCATACTCGACAGAGTCTGGAGAACCTTGCATGGTTATTTAGTAGAAAGGCAGAAAAAGAACAGGGCATGATTTATTTTTTGTTTTACTTTTTTTTATACTAAATTGCCATTCACTTCAATGAAATAGCATTGGCTGCTTCATAAGCAGGAATGGTGACAGCCCCTTTGCAGCTTGTGCAAAGTCTGATAAAAGCTGTATCACCAAGCAGTCCTCACTTGAAAATCTGGAACCCACTGAAAATATCTCTTCTCTCATCACTAAACTTCTAACATTAACCTCTTGCAAATTTTGACCCTGAATTTACTATTGAAATTTCCCTATCATTTGTCAGTAATGATCTCCTACTCATTAAAGCCAATCATCTTTTTCTCAGATCAAGCTTTCTTAGCCTCTCTGAATTTATTAATCAAAAACTTGCTTCCTCATCTCTCTCTCTCTCTCTCTCTCTTTCTCTCTCTCTCTCTCCTGTTATTAGTCTTGGTCTCCTCCAATCCCTTCTCTGCGTTGCTGCCAATGTAAAACAATACCCTCTTGGTACTTTTCCTCTCCCTCTAATTACCTTTCACTCACTTACCTTTTTTATTTTTCCCCCCATAT